CCCCGCCCCTCCCTGGGTGGATGTCGCAGGCCCCGCCCCTCCCTGGGGGGATGTCGCCAGCCCCGCCCCTCCCCGGGGGGAATGTCGCCGGCCCCACCCCTGCTGGTCCCGGAAGCCAGAAGCCCTCCCTCCTGCCCATTCATGGCTTCACCGTCCCCTTACGGAACAATTCTGGATCCCCACTTGGGCAGGGCCAGGGAGGTCTTGGGGACAGAAGGCCTGAAATAGGTTGCCTGACCAGGGTGGCATCATGGGTCTTCAGGAGTCACCCTGCCCTCCACTGCGCTGTGGCCAGCCTGCCTCTGCCTCAGCTTCCCTGGGAGGATGCCGGAGGGTGCCCCTGGGGAAATGCAGGTCTCGGCGGGTGAGCATCGCCACGGGGCAGGGCCTGGGGTCTTTCCCACCGAGTGCTTGGGCTGGCGAGGCAGGTGGGGGCGCGCAGAGCCCCGGACACATTGCTTTTGCTGCAGTGGCTCCGACTGGTACTCCCTGGTGCCCTGCCTCTCGGGGGCCTCAGCCTCCCCATCTGTGACTACTCGGACGCATGGCTCTCCCACATGGGTCCCAAGACTTGAAAATGCAGGCTTTGGCTTTACCCCGTAGCCCAGTGAGGAGGGTCCAGGACCCTCCTGTTCACAGACAGGAGCGCCTGAGGCTCTGCTGAGCAGATGTCTCCTCTGGGCAGCCTCCGAGTTGGCTTGGGGCACGCAGGGTCCACGCCTCCTGGGCTCCAGCCGGGGTGCCGGGAGCCAGGGTGGGCTGCACTGGGCTGCCCTTCAAGGGAGCTCCACGCCCTCCAGAGTGTGTCTGGGCTGCAGGTGGAGGCTGCCGAGGGCCGGGGTGACCCAGGGGCGCTGCCCAGGCAAAGCGGAGGCTTGAGTTGGTTCTCGTCAAGGTTCCCAGACAGCAGCCCTTAGCTTCCCGCCCTGCCAGCCTCCTGCCTCAGGGAGCCCCTCTTGTCAGGGGCTTCTAAAGACTTGCTGGGAGATGGGCCCGGGGCCACAGGGTGACCACCAAGGGGGATTCCCAGCTGCCCCTGAGGCGGACAGAATCAGGACCTCTGGATGATGCTGTGGTGAGACCCACATGGGTAGGAGGGGGGGACCCCACCCAGGGAGCAGCCCCAGCCCCTTCCCAGGGTTAGCTTCTCTCCAGCCAGCCCTCCTGGCTCCTCAGTGCCCAGGAGCCTGGAGAGAGCCTTGGAGGGCTGTGTGGCGCAGGGTTTATAGGAGATCGGGGATGGGGACAGTCAGGTGGAGGGTGGGTGGAGGTGGGGAAGCCTCTGGTCTTTCCTTGGGGCCAGGACAGTCCTGGCAAAGCTCCTTCTGCTAACTGCCTGCAAGTTAGGAAATTGTGGGTTGGTGGGGAAAGGCCACCACTGACCCCACTGGCTGGCAGAGAGGGGTATCTGGATGCTGGGGAGCAGCCTCTGTCCCCCATAGAGTCCAACCCCCCAGAATGACTAGGGAGGGACTTGGGACTCTGCCCTCCTCAGTGCAGGGCAGGTCTGTAGAAGGCTTGCATAGGGTCAGCCCTGGTACTCCACACCACCAGCCTGAGATCTCTGGTTGCCAGGGTGTGGAAGGAGGGTGCCTACCCACGCACACACACCTACACTCACACCTGCACTCATGCGTGTGTGTGCACCAAGGGTGTCTGAGGTGTCCAGGGTGTTCAGGAGGAACCATCTGCTGGGTGAGGTAGGTCCTCTATGCAGTTCCTTGGCTTTTCCAAAGATGAGCACCGGGATCCCAATCCTGGCAGGTGGGGCCTCAGATCCTGCTCCTTCCTGCCACTGTGGAAGACCAGAATCCCTCCTCCCATATGAGTCTCGGCCCTCCCTCCTGGACAGGACCTCCTCTT